AAGGAAGAGAAGCCAGACGTGTCTTCTGGCCTCTTTAAGAGGATGCCGTCCTCCAGGCGAACCAACGTGAAACCATCTCCCAAGAACTCCTGTGAAGTGATGCTGAAGTCCCCCCAGGCAAAGGAAAACCCGGGGGTCTGCATCAAAATCACCTCCCGGGCTTCCTTCCAGGGCGCCATGAAGACCAAAGTGCTGCCCCCGAGGAAAGGAAGGGGCTTGAAGCTGGAAGCCATCGTGCAGAAGATCACCTCCCCCAACCTGAAAAAGTTCGCCTGCAGAACGGTGGCCACCGCCGTCCCTGCCACAGTTCCCGCTGCCGCCGCCGCCCACAGTAATCCTCTCAGCCCTTCCCTTCCAGAGCGGGAACAGGCCTCAAAGACTACGAGCGGAACCCCAGCCGTGGGGGAAGCTCGGCCATTAAACCAGGCTTCGTCACAAAGGGCTCCCGCCGCTGCAGCAGCCGAGCAATTATGCAGAAACCCGAACAACAGATCCTTCAGAGGGAAACTAATGAACAGTAAGAAACTGTCCTCCAACTGCTTCAAGGGTGAGGCCTATTCATCTCCCGAGACGTTGCAGCTCAGTGGCGACAGCATGGCTGCGAGCACCGTCTGCCTGCTTCCCAAGAAGAGGAGCCGAAAGGGGAAAACGGCCTCCTTCCACGTGGCCAAAAATAGCTTGGAGAAATGCCCTCACCTGAGCCCGTCTTTGTTCCTGGCTGCCCAAGAGAAACCCAGGGTGGCGGCGGTGGCTACGGCAGCTGGGAAAGGCGATGAGGGACAAAGGGAAGGGAAAAAGCCCAAAGGAGAAGACAAAGGCTTGGGGAACGCCGAGAGTGTGGAAGGGAGGTCCCCCCAGGCCCAGACCCGGGCCCAGAAGCAGCGAGCCCACCACGCCAACTACAACGGCTACACCAAGAGACAAAGGAAGCACCACAAGCGCCGGAAGGTCCAAAGCGTCCCCTCGCGGTGCAAGAACAAGACCCGGCGACGGCACCAGCAGCAGGCCCCTCTGCTGAGCCCCACGGAGCCCGAGATCCGGCTCAAGTACGTCTCCTGTAAGCGGCTGAGGGCGGACAGCCGGGCACCACCCTTCTCGCCGTACGTCCGGATGGAGAAGTGGGATGAATTCCTCACCACCTGCACCGTCATCAACTCCTCAGCCGAAGAGGCAAAACTCCACAACGAGCAGCAGCAGCATCACACTTCTTCGTTTTCCTCTTTGTCTGCCCAAGCTGGGCTTTTGGGGACCACCTGTCTGCGGCCCCCGGCCATCCTACCTCTGTCGTCCATGATGCACCTCGGGCCGGTGGTCTCCAAGGCCCTCAACACTGCCTGCTTGGTCTGCTGCTTGTGCCGCCAACCGGCCAACTACAAAGACCAGGGGGACCTCTGCGGGCCCTACTACCCGGAGGACTGCCTGCCGAAGAAGAAATCGAGACTGAAAGAGAAGGTCAAAGTGGAAGCCCTGGGGGAAGGGCCTCCTCCCTCCTCCTCCTCCTCCTCGTTGGCAGAAAGGCTGCTCAAAGCAACAGATAATAATTGCGCAACCGGTACGCTGGGTGGAAAGACGCCAAGGTTGGACAGTGGCACTGACTCAGCGAGACAAAGCGCGCTGCGTTCGAGTTCAAGGGGGCTGTTTAGGAAACTGCAGAGCTGTTACTGTTGCGATGAGAGGACAGAGGGAGAGGAGGCTACGGCAGGGGTGTCAGTAGCAACGGTTGAGAAGCTCCGGAGGCACGAATGCGGCAAGGCGGATTTGCCCCCGCCGGACCCCGCCGGAGAGACGCAGGAGCATTGGGTTCATGAAGCCTGTGCTGTATGGACAGCTGGGGTCTACCTGGTGGCAGGGAAACTCTATGGACTGCAGGAGGCAATAAAGATGGCCGCGGATGTGGTAAGAGGAATACCCTGCCCTGCGTGTACTTGCGGCGTCCCTGGGGACAGGAACAATGACAGGCTCAGCTAGTGCTGATCAGAGTCAAGGAAGCTGCACGGCAAGAGGCAACAGGCTGCAGTGGGAGGGGAAGGAAGGCAGTGGGGTTCTCCGATCTGTACCTGCAGCAGGTTTTGGGGAGCAGCCAAGGAATCCAGCCAAGTCCTCATGAGCCCACCTGGTCGCTTCTTGCTGGGTCAACTCGAAGGGGTTTAGGGTTTCTCTAGTTGATGTTCTATCAGGTTTATTTTCTCGCTTGGGAAAACGGACGCTCCCTATAAGAACACAAGGAGAATGTGAATGTATCCAGGTCCTGACTTTGCAAACTTCAGACCAACTCAAGGTCTGAAGACTAAGGAGAATATTAGCAGCTCAGGGTGTTCACGAGAGCTCCTGTAAGAATGGAAGAAAACCTGGTTATATCCAAGTCTTGAGTTTGAGAGGTCCTTGATAGCAATGGCAATAGCAGTTAGACTTATATACCGCTTCATAGGGCTTTCAGCCCTCTCTAAGC